CAACAGTTTCCAATGAACTTGCTGTAAAATGGATCAGTAGCATAACAAGGCATATTTTGATAGATCCTACGCTAATACGTATTGTCGGATCAAAAAAGTATGGTACGGAGTTTTTTACTATATACTCTATATCCTGGACCAATACCAAACCCTTTTCTGAAGTATGGCATACGTGTCATACCAAATAACACTTTATGACCCGAAAATACTTCGTTGCAGGAGTCGAAATATGTATTAACGTAAGATCCTGTTTTAACACTAATAGAGACCAATGGAGACTATATATTAAAATTAGTATTTGTCATGTACAAAAGTCACCAAACACTTTTTATTGTGAGACGATCGTGTGGAATTAATGAAAAAAACTTGCATTGAGTTCTAAATACATAAATTTGAAATGTCCTGTAGTAATTTATACTAAAATTTCAAGTTTTTAATAAAGTTAAGGGATCCGGTACGACATCCCAAAAATCACAATCCCGAAAATTCATCATCCCAAAAAGTCTACATCCTGAACACTCAACATCCCGAATGCTCAATATCCCGAACACTGGCATCTCGACAGTTCAAAATCCCTAAAATTCAAAATCCTGACACTTCAAAAACCTGAAATTCACAACGCTCAATGGTTCAAAATCTACTTTTGTGTTAATGTTATATATCGATATACGTGTATTACGCATCCAACTTTTATTAGAATATTACATCATCAAACTTTATTAATAAAACATAGTAAAAATGCAGATTTATCTCTTAAATTTTACTAATTAACATTTTTACTTTTAACATGTATTTTGAATTCAAACTGAAATCTGCAAAGTTATTGTTTGATCTGGTTCTTTTTATATAAACATAAAGAATAGTAAAATCTATAAAGAGCGAAACCCACATTTTACTATGATTTATTAAATTTTGACGCATTTCTTTTGATTGTCACTGTATTTCAAAATACTTTGTTTGAACAAAAGTATTTTCACTATTACTTTACTTTATAAAAAAACTTGTAATCTTAGTATAACGTACTTCAAAACATGTGGCATTTATTAAATTTTAACTCAAAACATGTTTTTTCATTAGTTCACTCACCATCATTTATGAAGTATAAAATCTATTATCAAAGTTTTTGAAATATAATATTTTAATGTTTTTTAGGTATAATTTTCTAAAGAGTCTTAAAACTTGAAAGTTTAATATTGCATATTTCAGAATGTTTTGAATCTATATAGAACATCTATGAGTTTTTTCATTAGTTTCTGCGTTATTGACTTACTAATTGTATCCAGGTCATTTTATCTATGCATTTGTATTTTAGTTATAATTGTTTAGACAGTAATAAAAAATAAAAAAAAAGCTTGAAAGTTTAGTATAAATACTTCATTATTTTTTTTGAACTATTATACGTACGTATGTTAATGAATGATTTATAAAGATTTGAAATTCTAGTATAACAGATTCCAGAATATGCTTAGAACATTAATACAAGTTTTTTCATTGATTTCCCATTATTATTTCGCAAAAAAAAGTGCCCGGTGACTTTTGTCCGCCGAGTGTAGTTTAAAATGAAAAAAAAAATTATTCATTTTTTTTATTTTGCATAATTTAGACTATTGTATATAAAGCTATTTTAGTAAAGGATCTGTTCTATATAAAGTTATTTTAGTACGTAAAGGGTCCGTTCTACAATATACTCTTTTATCAACCATTTAATATTATTGTAGAATGCCATCACTCAAATAATCGCCGCCTAATAAGAATTAGGCCAGAATAATTCCTCATTCTGCTAAAAATTTACCCCAGTAAAACCCTTTTTTGCTGCTGATTTTATTACGATCACATGAAACATATTTTACTGTTTTTTCTCGTGTGTACAAAGAGTTCATACTGTACAGTACGAAATCTTTATATGCTCTTTTATGATTTTTTATGCTTTCTCGGATCATAATATCTCTTCTCCTGTGTAAATTATTCCCTATTGAACACGAAAAATGCATTATACCCGGAATATTTTAGCACACAAAACACAGTACGTAAAGTACTTTCTTAAATTAACGTTTTTCTAAATTAATTTTTGTCTCAAACTCAATTCTTAAAAAGCGATTTTTTCGACCTAACCGAATTAAAATCAATTACTATTCCTAATACAGCAAACAGCATGTTGCAATTTACGGTATTATGGCGTGTTGTAATATAACGGTTTTGTTGTGACATTTATGAATTCGTATTGTAACATTACAACAAAGCACTTTTAGCTACGGGGTGGCAAGATTATTGGAACCGTGTTAAACCGGATTTGTCCTATTGTGAAGAAAATTTTCTATACATCGATATCTTAACTAACCAGAAAATCATACATACCCTATAAGATAATTGGCACGTAATGTTTGTAAAAAGTATTTCATATAAACATTTAATCGCGTACGTAAAAGGTCTGTCTGTAAAACACACGTAAAAAGTGATCCTTACGCGTATTAGACTTTTTCGTATATTTTCGTGTTTTTTATAGACATATATTGGAATTTACAGGCGTATGTTCTTATAGGGATAATAAGCAATAACCGGCTTAACGAGAGTCACTGTGTACTAGTACCGTTACCATTCCTCAACGCTTTAATAAGCATCGTGCAAATCACGCGAAGTGTCGTTTCCAAACAGAAAGCATTCATTAAATAAACTTGTCCAACTTCATCTTCTCTATCAGCTTTTAAAATAATAAAACGCGTGTTTGATGTTGAATTCGATTTAATTATTATTTTTCAAAATTTATACAATAAATACGTATCAAAAATTTTTAGAACTGCAGAACCGCATTACTAAAATTTAAAATTATGAGTGGAAACCATGTTTGAATGCTTTCATATAATCGAAAACATCAAGAGAATAGAAAATTAGCATTTCTACTCCAATTAAATATTTTGGTATTTTCACATATGTTTTGCTACCATTTGTTGCTATCCACTGTCTAACTATTTTTTTGAGGATATGTGGATAGGGAAATTTCATTGCTTTTTTTTTTGAAAGGTTTTTCAAGGTTTCAAAGAACTCTTTAAAGACTTAATAATAGGCTACGGTGCGGCGCACCTAAACACCTCAACAAATTTTATGTTCTAAATTCTATAAACTTCTTAATTCCACAATTTAATCCGTTAAAAGAATAGAATAGGCTTTGCTCGAGTTAAATTTGTATTTAAGAGAATTTAGAACATAAAATTTGTTGAGGTGTTTAGGCGCGCCGCTAGTTCTCTGTTTTCAGGCATATTCATTCTATCATCTGTGGTTTGAGTTAATAAATAACTTGCAACGCAAATAGATTTTATTATGGCAAAAAAAGATAGCTGGGTGGTGTAGCTTTAAAAAATAATCGGTAAATAGTACGAAGTTTGGTTAAATTCCTTTTACGTCGTCTTAATTTTTTGATTGCGTTTTGATATGCCGCAGAAGATGGTTTGCTCGTTTTTCATTTAGAGTGCAAAGCAAGTGATACGAATTTGAATCAATTGTCTTTAAGATTATTTTATTTGTAAACAATGACAAATTTTTCAAAACTATTTCCGTGGACAAAATAGGTAAGATAAGAAATAATAGCTAAGTACAATCTACTAACACTAATCCGTTTACATCATCACTAAGTCAGAAACTCCGCGAATTGTCATGCAATCAATAAACTCGCAGAAATTCGTCATTACATCAAACTCACATTGACGCTATACAGCAAAGCCAAGAAAGTCAAAAACACAATTAACATACATGTGTTGACATGCATGCTGACAATGTCATTCTTCTTATGGTCTCAAAGGAAATGTACGCAACGCATGTAGCTACATGGACGTGCATTCGAACAATAGGCAAATCATTCGTCTTGCAAAGAAAGTGTCGGAGATGTCCTTATTCAGCATTCTCTCAGTCACTGTCAAGAATTCTTTGTACATTGTTTTTCTGCGCAAAATTCCAAGCACAGAATGAAATAATGATTATGTTTCAGAAGAACTGTACCTATAAATAATTCTTAAAATAAGATTAATTCCTAATATGGAAACGGAACAAAAGGCATAAGCAAAAATTAGAGATTTGATTTTCCGTGACAATGTTTTCTCAATTCGATGAACATAAAAATAAACACGCATACGAATACATGAGAAATTAAAGAATACGAAAAATCAAGAAATTGTGTGTATCACCACCACTATTTGTTTCAACTTTCAAAAGTACATGATGGGCAGGTTCTAGCCTGTTTTAAAATAACTAAATCCCGCAACCTACGAATTTTCAATTTACCATTGTGTCGGAAACAATGAAAAAATCTCGAACAAAATGACAGATGGCCAAATAGATTGCCACGTTCGAGATTGCAAAACAGAAACAAAAAAAACATAATTCCTAAGCTTCCGTTATCTGAAACAGCGAAACGGAACACAAGCTCAAAATGGCATAAACTAGTATAACAGTATAGAATAAAGAAATCCAGGCTCAAAATGATCGACAGATCGTTTCAACTTTACGTAATTTCCGTACAACATGATGGATTTCGCATATACTGTACCAGCAGTTGCGTAAATTATTGCTATTTTTAACTTTAAAATGACTTGAAAATTCAATTTAAAATTCATGTGGTTCTTCTGCCCATTCACTTGTGGAACTTTGTCATTTGTTTCTTGACGTTTCATTCATATTGATATGTGTAAATTGATACTATGCTTCAAATAGCATTCAATGGAGAGAACAATATGTATGTGATGAGAAACATATAAATATGCGAAAAATTTTAGCTCATAACTTTTTTCTTGATCATACCATTTTCTTGATCATACCATTTTCTTGATCATACCATTTTCTTGATCATACCATACAACTTTCTTGATCATACCATACCATTTTCTTGATCATACCATACAACTTTCTTGATCATACTATACAATTTTCTTGATCATACCATACAATTTTCTTGATCATACCATACAATTTTCTTGATCATACCATACAATTTTCTTTAAACAAACTCAAAAATGATTCACAGCACAACAAATATCTTGAATAACAACAATTCGATGTGTGTAAACGACAATAATTGTCAACAAACAATCGCTTGGCTTAAATCCCTCGAAACACGAAAACCCACCGTGCCAACGTATCCATTACAAACACTTTTCAATACAAAAAAAAGCTTGTCTTCCAACATACTCAACACGGAACCGTTTGAATGCGAGAAAGATACTTTGACTTTCTCGAAACTACCAGAAACAAATATTCACGAGGAGAAAAAATCTTGGTCGAATATACCAAATGATGATGACCACCTCTTCGACGACGACGAAAATAAACCTACCCCACAAAATGATGATTTAGAGAAAAACTCGAAAAATTGTTCTACAAATCTTGAAAGTTCACAATTATTATTACTTGAACCATGTTGGAGTCCCAGCAATGAGACGGTGATAGGGTTATTCGATGACGAAGAGGCTGACAATGAATATACCGATAACTATTCTGACATTGACGATGATGAAGAAGACGATGAAAAATCGTATCTTTTATGGGACACGGATAGTGAATGCAGCGACACAACAACAATAAATGATTTCGACGAAGAGAAAGAAATGTTAGACGATGTCGTGTTTTACGCCGATGATTTTTTAGACAACTTTATTGAGTCAAAAAAACTGAATAGTACATGTATATGATATGCTTTTTTTTATTTTTTCACTTGTATATACATGTATAGCTGTATAGATATCATAATGTTGCTGGGAAGTCCAAAGATTAGTTAGTTTTATTATTGTATTTTTATAATATGTTAATAGTAATTGTATTAAATGAAATGACTAAAATTTTCTGGTAAAATTTTGACATAAATAAACTTATATTCTTAAAAAAATTGCTTATACATGGTGCCTGAAGTCATAACTTGACAATCTCGTGATTCTGTTCAATTTTTTGGTGGCGATCCAATGTCACGTTTTTGTAATCGACCAATAAAATAACGAGAAGTCTACGGACAGCGCTTCGGGACAGTGCTGGATCACGTGGCCTTCAAAAATCCATGTTCACGTGATCACAGAAAATTGACGTTAAAGGTTATTTTATCGTTTGGATTAGGATTAGAGTTAGAGCTGAGGATAAGGTTATATGTAAAATTGCTTTTCTGACATTTTTTATTAGTGCTTCAAGCTAGATTTTGACATCTGTTTTCCATATTTTTTACGTTTTCTATTTTCTTGTGTCAAAGCTCACGTAATTTAGCACTGTCCAGACTTCCTGATAAAATAACGGTATTTTAATCACGTGAAATGATGCAAACCAAATTTTATTTATTACATGATTTACATTATGATAATTCGGGTTGGCACAATGATAATTTAGCGTTAGCATAGTGCCGGCCTGAATTATAATGAATACCAACCAATAAAATCAATTCATGTGATAAGTATTCACGTGATTTGTTACAAATTTGGACTAATCATATAAAAAGTGACCAAGTTTAAACGCCTATAACTTTTTATCTAGGGCTTTTTAATAGAGTTTATCTTAAAGAATAAAGTTACTGATTTAATTTTTCTAAATTCCATTTTTGCAAAGTATTGAAAGATTTTAAAAATAATTCACTTTATTATGATTTCCGGCACCATACTAGTATAAATGTTATGAAAACAATTTATTTAAGAAAGCTTATTGAAATTGCATAACAAACTTTCAGTATTTTGCTAATTTTTGCAATTTGCAAAAAACTACATAAAACACGATAATGAATTATATATGCTGCTAACTAACAGCGAGTTAACTAACATTGTTACACGATTTGAGGGAGATTTTCACATAACAAAGAATAAGAATAACCAATCAAACATGGCGGAAAAACGATTAAATTCTTTGTTTGTGGAGTTGATTCTGCGGAGTAATACAAATATTAGTCCTCCTCCCATGTAATAACGATGATAATAAACAAAAAAAGCGCGATACAGCGAAACATCATTATCGTCATTATTATGTCAATCAAATATTTAATGAGGTGAATTAAAATTCAAATTTAAATTTAGATTTAAATTACATGCATAGTTATGCATGATAACAGAGGGAAGACTAAATTACCAAGATATTATCGAAACACTTTGTGTGTCATCCTTCATTCATGTATGCTGAAAAAAATCGATTGTCTGGGGAATAAACATTAGCGGTATGTTTGTTGTTATCGTCATCGGAATATTGTTTTTTAGAGACGAATGTTTTTAGACTTACGTATTCCAAATATTATTATTGTCATTGCCCAAAATCCCACCGAATAGAAGAACTCATAGAATGTGAATGAATATTCACTTTTGGCAAATGGATATATGTCAAATGCAATTCTGAAGGAATCAAAATCGATTCATTAGAGCATTAAACATTTGAAATTTTACATTCAACTCGTATTTTCTATTGACTACAAAATCAGGCAAAGAAATTCCGGATATATTCGTGACATAAAAAACAATTGCGTACCCTTTTAATAAAACAATGAAAAGAAAATGAGACATCAGTTGATGATTTTCTTCATACTTCTTAAAAAGGAAATACCACAAACCACAATATTCTAAGTAGAAGGTCGAAATTCTAAGAGTCGTGCAAACAAAGGGAATGTTTCTATTTTTATCGGAAAATGTTTATGTACATATTTCTCATTCTTTTGGCTGTGTGAATATGCATACATGTACGTACGTGTGACATTACAAACGAACTTTGATCGTGATTCTTATCTCTATAAATACGAGTTTCAACTTGAGGATTTTTTACAAATCAATTTTGCAAAGAACGAAAAACATCATCCATCAATAACTTTTTTTTTTCTCTTCAAATTAACATTTTAACATTTTCAACTTCACATAAACCACTAAAAATGTCTCAATTAAACGATAACATTCAAGCACACGAAAATATCCACTCAAAAACAATTTCCTGGATCAAAAAAGTAGCCGAAGAAAATAATCAAACTAATCCAAAATTCAATCTTACAATAACAACCGCATCAAACGACAACAAAACGAATAATAACCACACAAATTCACTATATCTGGAAAAACCCAATGGTTCATGGGATTCTTACTCGAACTATAGTAACGCAACATTATCCGCTGAAAACGGCGACGACGAATTTAAACAACAGCTAAAAGAGAAAAAGAGCAATAATTTCGATTCCGAAGATTTTTATAAACAAAAATCATATTTCGATTGGGATTCGGATCCCGAGGAAGATGACGATGAGAGTACTTTATTAGATGACGACGAAAAAGACGCAGAAAAACCAACAATCGAATCATTTGACGATGCAATATATTACGCAAATGAAATACTTAAAAGATTTTAGTAATAATTTAAATATTGCAAAATCGAAATTGACATCATCACCCGTCTCATTAATTTACTTTCATATAATCGATGTAAATAGCATATAGAAAATTTACTTTTTTCCTTTCAACACACACTAATAACACTAAAAGTAATTCAGTAACAATAACACACCTAATAAGATTAATTAATATGTAATCACGAAAACATGAAATCACTAAAATTCTAATTTGAATCATTGAACTTTAGCCTGGCGCTGAAAGTCACACTAATAAAACATGATTTTCAAAAGGAAAGAAAAAATCACCGGGAAATAAGTTGTACCATGATGTCACGCTATTGCTATTGATGCAATAGCATTTTTAATCCTAATACATGTACCCCTCACTAAATCTTGAGAACAATGTAAATTCTGTTTTCATTTTGTTTCAAATCCAAATATTAGTGCGCGTTGTTTTTGTTGCACAGATGTTCGTGTGCTATCGTTATAGAAATCCGCAATTTGGATTATTAATATCGATATGCAATAAAAATTTGATTTTACGTACTTGCTAAAAAGTACGAATCAGCATTATTTATTTTAAATTCCTAACGATAAAGTTTATCGTATGATTCTTTTGGAAATTTATTTTTTATGAATAGGTGCTTTTTTTCATCATACATGTAGAATATTTAAAATTCGTTGTGTACGTTTTTTTGGAATTTGGAATTTCAAACAAAAAAAAAGGTATTTTTTATTTCTCTTTACAAATTCGAATTTTGAATGTCGATTTATTAACCTAGTTATTCAACTTAAATAATTGATCAAAACAACTACTACATGTACATAGCGATACGTAGTTACTTTCTCGATGGATAGCGATAGATCGATATCTAAATTAGTATAATAAGAGAATATCGATATGAAAACATGCTCTCGAACAAGTATTATCGTCATACCTTATCGTTACATGTGGTAACAACTTCTTTTTTGTTATGCAGTACAGTAGGCATTTACTAATTTTCACCCGAAGTTTCTATTGGTCAGAGGAGATCCCAATCTCCGATTGGACGAAATTGGTGGTGC